ATCATTTGATGATGATGATGATGATGATGATGATGATGATGATGATGATGATGATGATGATTATTATTATTATTATTATTATTATTATTATTAACTGCCCAGTTGCTGTTGCCGAGTCGATTTTGCTATTATAACTGCTGTTGCTGTTGCTGTTACTGTCGTTGTTGTTGTTGTCGTTTTACGGCTATTTTTGTTGTTGTAGTTGTTGTCGCGATTGTTGCGGTCGACGTTTATTCAAATTGAGATTTACACGATAACTGTCCCATTTACATGATAACCGCCCCATTAACACGATAACTGCCCCATTTACACGATAACCGCCCCATTAACACGATAACCGCCCCATTAACACGATAACTGTCCCATTTACACGATAACCGCCCCATTAACACGATAACTGCCCCATTAACACGATAACTGCCCCATTTACACGATATAAAAAAGAAAAGAAAAACAAAAAACAAAGTTCACATTGAAAAGGAGTAAAACAATCAACTCCACCCGGGCATACATCCACAAACCACCCACTACAAAAGGCAATGATTTAATCAAACATCCACAAACCACCCACTACAAAAGGCAATGATTTAATCAAACATCCACAAACCACCCACTACAAAAGGCAATGATTTAATAAAACATCTACAAACCACCCACTACAAAAGGCAATGAACTAATCAAACATCCACAAACCACCCACTACAAAAGGCAATATTTAATAGAACATACACAAACCACCCACTACAAAAAAGGTTATTTAAACCGAACACCACCAACCACCCTCTACAAAAGGAGACGATTCAACCAAACATCTACAAACCACCCACCACAAAAGAAGTATGTTTGAAACAACTTCCCTCCCCCCTCACACTCCCGACCCCCTCCTTTTCTTCAAGCCCTGAGAACATTTTTCCAACACGTTCCCGCTAGCTTGGCATTCATTCAAACAATCAACACGACCGAGTGGAACAGAGCTCCCACTCTCCACAAAGAACATTTTGATGAAGTAAAACCGGCGGACGGCGAAAGCAAACACCAAAAGCTGTTAAGGAGAAAGGCATCCCGTCTGAGACAAGGTAGGAGGAGGGAGTACCGGCGTAAGTCACTTTCTAATCATTGAAAGTGTGCTTCTTTCCATGAACTTTCAGACACGAAGTATGTAGTCATTCTGGGGTGAGATGTTGCATATATATATATATATATATATATATATATATATATATATATATATTCTAAATATAACTTTAACGATATGATTAACTGTTCGTGAGATCGGCTTCAGACTCATCATAGAAGGCCATATGAAACGTTGAATCGGATTTGACCGCTTCCAGGTGGAAATGCTTCCACAGTTCCCTTACAATGATATCGGTATGCCTACCACACACACTGTGTCTACTTTCGACTGGGGGATATTGCCATTAGTCATTAAAGCAAAAATGCAACACAAAGAATAAACCATACAAACGACCCAAACGCTACTCTACGCCGATAAAAAGTTGATTGGTTGATTTATTTCTCGTACGAAGAATACATTTTGTGTCGCTGACATAATATATACCCGTTCCATCATATCGTAAAGTACACAAAATAAAACAACTTCAGTTCTGCAAAGACGACAAGCTTTGAACAAAACAAAACAAAAATATCTTCGTTCCTACTGAGTCACCCAGACAGATTCTTTTCATCCAACCTGTCGGCCGCAGGTTTAGTTGGCAAAAGATCCCCGGGAAAAAAACCCTGTGAAAACCCACCTTCAAAATCAACGTTGTGTTGGTAACCTGTACGGAAAAAAACCATCACTAACAGGCGCAACAACAGGCTTAGTTTTATCCTACTAACAAAAACCCATTTATTGTTTTACACAAAGAACCACATACACACGATAACGGCCGCTTAATGCAGCCAAAAAGTATGACAGACAGAAACAGTAATAGGAAAAGAAATCAAAAGGACCAACACTCTTACATGAGGTACAATTTTGGTCGGCTGACAAACCAGTACCAGTAAGCACTGTATGGCATGGTCACAGGGCGACAAGTCCTCACTTCATTGACACACGATACAATACAAGGAGTGCGCAAGAACTGCAATAGTGCAACGACAAAACAACGCGTTTTTATTTGTGCAACATGTGGCGGCAGCCCATTGTTCTTTTAAACAATGTCTTGTCATTTAAGAAAAATGATCCAAGTAAAACTCCGGTCTTTTATTGTCCTAAAAAGGCCAGGCGCACAAGAACAAGCAGGGAGTACAATGTATTAGCAATAAAGCCTGTCAAATGGCAGTTGGCCTTTCGCAAAGCTTTCTCTAACGTCCAACAGCATTCTCTTTCAGGTCGTGCAGCTTTTTTGTTGCTTTTTGGAGGGGGTTGTGGGGTATGCAGCCCAGCGCAGTCCAGCGCAGCGGCTGCTTCAGCAAGCGACTTGCATTATGGAATAAATTGCGCAAAAGTCTCGTTTCCATGCCCGAGATGCAAAGCCGTTTAAGGGGGAAAAAATAATGTTAGGAAATTTTTCGGACGTGCGTGTGGAGAAAAAAAAAGGACCAGACACGTAGGACAAGCATGGTGGAAACTGAATGTCGACAAGGTTATTGCGCAAAGTCACGTTCCTCTTCTGTTTTGTTCTTTCGTCTTTTTGCGATTGTTAGTTTGCTTAAGTTTCGTTTTTAATCGTGTTTTGTTTTTTTTATTGTTTTTGAAAGGGGGATTGTGTTGTTCTATCTTATGTTCTCTCACTGAAGTGGCCAGGGTTG